AAATTCTGGCAAACAAAATATTTATAATATATTTTCTATATTAAATCACGTTTAGAATGATTTTAACGCATGCTGTTAGAAATAGAAAAAGCGAGAGTCCAAGTTGTTACTTTTTAGGTTCATCACATTCAATAGTGTATATATAACTCAGTAGGCTTGTATATACAAGCGAATGTGCTACCTAGAAACATGAAGGCAAAGATGCCTTTTATAAACTATGTAAATTTGGTGTGGTTTATTTTGTTTTACGGCATATCAACCCCAATGGATTATTTAATACCGACAAAATTTTTATTGCTGTTAATATTTTGATTTGTCATTAATCTATTTCTAGTAATTTTTTTTTTCACAATTGTGTTGCTGTATTAATTTTTTTCAAAAATCTATCGCTGGTTATATTTTTTTCCTCAAAAATGTATAGCTGGTAATAGTTTTTTTTTCCAAATATTTATTGCTAGAAATATTTTTTTATTAACTATTTCTAGTATTAAAACCTATTTTTACACTGTCTGTATTTCTGAGATGAGGTATTATGTACAGTATTTACATTATTCAGACTATTGTCCTCATCTTTGTCGCCATATTTATTACAACGTTTTGGCCGTTGTACACTCCGGCCTTCTTTAAGTGGTTGGAATGTCGAACTGAACCCTTTATTTCGCTCACTGGGGTAGACTATTCTAGTTCCACCTGCCGTGTTGAATGGATGTTAGTTAAACTAAATAAAGTGTTCGGCTCGAAATTCCAACGTATATCACCTGAAGAAGGTCGGAGCATACAACCGCCGAAACGTCGTGAATATAGCAATAAAGATGAGGACAATAGTTCAAACGATGTAAAGAATGTAAATATATTGATATTTAGGATTGATATTTAAAAAAAATTCAGAATTCTTTAGAAATAGGAAACATATTTAGCATAAGGAAGTAAGCGTCGATGCTAAATGAGCAAGAGTACGATTGAACAACAAAGAGAGGAAGTTGTAGATAGCCATGTCGCCCACGTCCTGAGCGGTGACTGAATATAGAGGAAAACATTCCAGCGTGTAGAAGATTACAGCAATTTTTGAAGACGGTGAGATATTATATTTCTCTGGCAAATATGAACCTTATCAAGTTAGATTAAACGAAAATATTTCGAAACTGCTACGTCATATCAATCGTCTTTAATGGCCGTGTATGCTAGACGGATGAAGAAGAGATTGTAGGCATCAGATATCTGGTTTTAATTAAAATGCCATTGTCAGTGTTTGCAAGCAACAAGGAAGTTTTAAGGAAAGTAAAAACATGAAGGACATTCCTACTTAAAATTATAAAGTCAGTTGAATTTCTTAGGGTCAGAGGCAAACAACGAGTAACCTACGTACGTATATATATATATATATATATATATATAATTAAAGGCAAGTAACAGAATATTACGATCACGTGCTTTATTTAATTTTTATAACAACTTATTATACATCAAGCAAAAAAAAAAAGAAATACAAAATGGAGCATACTACTGAAAATTACACTTTGGAATAGAAGCAAACACTGAATATTTAAGACTTGGTGAGGCGTAAATACTGAAGATTACACATTCGATTAGGAGCAAACACTGAAGAATACACCTTCGAAAAAACGAAGAGACGTAAATGCTGAAAATGACACAGAAAAAAATAGGTCCAAACACTGAATCTGACACTCGAAAAGACGCGAATCCTGAGGATGAAACTCTCGAATAAACAGAAACATTGATGATTACATTCTCGGATAAACGCAAACACTGAAGGTTGCACACTTGAACATGTGAAAGCACTGAAGTTTACACTCTTGAATAGACGCATATATGAAATTCTAAGACTTCTACACTTTCTAAAAATAATACTCAGACTTCTACACTTTCTAAAAACATTTATAAAGAAGAATTTCCATTTTGCGAATCCAAAAACAGCATCTTTCTCATTCATGAAAACAATTCTCAGAATATCTCCAAAGCAGAGGGGCAGACTAATCAAATTGTCACACAAACAGTCGCAGTTCCTCAGCTGGAGGCTTGAAAAAAAAATTGGAAAGCAATAATATATAAATTACAAGCAGCAACCATTTTCAAAATAAAGGTGCCCAAGTCTTCGAGGCATATTGGTAAATAAATAGCGAGAAGGATAAGTAAACGAAAGTATTCTGTTTTAGCAAAGGAAGAACGGTTTCGTTAAGAATACCTCTTTTAGCCTCGCAGAATTTGGTTAATATTTATTTTTTTTTTGTCTTTTGGCTTCTGTGATTCTTTGGCGGGTTTTACTCCATGCGGGTTTTCAGTCGGAGTGGCTTCAAAAGGAATGTAAACGCTGGAATAATTGGCAACTTCGCCTGTCTGCACAAAACCAGAAATTGAATGTCAAACAGACCAATAAATAAAATATTTTAATATTCTCGTGTCTTCATTTCTTTTGTATTACTCTTTGTTTCATTCCTTATGTCTATATCTACATATCTCTCTATGTCTCTCCCTTCCTCCTTTTCTATCTCTCTTCCCCAATTCCACCCTGTCTCTCTTTCTCTCAATCTCACGCTCGCTCTCTATTTATCACTCTCTTCCACTCTATCACTCTTGCTCTCTCTCTCTTCCTCACTCTCTCTCTATTTCTCTCTCATTCTCTATATATTTATAGAGAAGGGAGAGGATTCCTGTCTGCTAAGGTGCCTATCCAATCCCAGTTGCAGACGTTTGCTCAGGCACATTTGTTTGTTAGTTCATACTGCAAGTATTTCGTGCGGACCTCAGAGTTACGTGTACAGATTGGCTCATCTGACGTGATCATTTTGAAAACAGCCAGTACGCTAAAGTCATCGCTCAAAAGTCGATGAATAATTCAATCTATAGAATTTCACTCACAACTTGTGGTATGGTTCTCCGGTAATTTCGAATAGTGCTGGTATCATCTACCTGATCGACTCTGGTGAGATTCGAATCCGGGTCACTTGGTCAGTTG